TTCCCCGCAACAAAACAATCACTCATTTTTAAATCAAGAGGACGAGGAATGGTGTGTGTGTGTGTGTGTGTGTGTGTGTGTGTTGAAATATGTCTTAACAAATGCGAGACTCACTTTATGCAAGATAAATGGCCCTCAAATAACAGTGCATCGAATCTCAGTAAAATCAATCATACTTTAATTGCACAAAGGCAGTGTTTTAAAGGAATACTGGGTGGCACTGATGGGGTAACTGCTGTTTACTGGTCCTCTGTCTCCCCCCAATCAGGACGCTGTGACTCGCTGGTTAGCTCTAAGGGAGACCTGCTCTTCTGGATCCCATTTTACAGATGAGATGGCACGCTCGTGCTTAGATAGCTTCCTGAGTGTCGGAGCTACTGAGTCCCTCTGCCAAGATCAGGACTACTCAGTTGGACCTAGCTCCAAGCCCTTAACCACAATGTAACCCCCGCAAGGGGGGGGTAGTAATAACATCAATGATCTCTCAGCATCAAAGAGTTTTATATTTATTAATATTTGGCATCTGCCTCAAAGACACAACACAGGGGTCAGTGAGATGGTACATTGGATAAAGGGACTTGCTGCCAAACCTGAGGAATTGAGTTCTATCGCTGGAACCCACATGATGAAAGCATGCCCCACCCCACATAAATAAATGAAAATGCACCTTAAAAATGTAAAGAGAATTAGACAGATAATGACCAATTCTACTTTATAGCCAGGGAGCTGTAGGTTGATTGAGGTGAGAAAACTTGAGTCTGGTATGATGTCTACAGCATCAAGTGTCTGACTCAGGCCTGGGACTGAGTTCTCCTTGGTTCACTGTGATTGGTAGAAAGGACTGGATGGGACCAGCTCCCCAGCCTTCCTGTTTCTCTCCTTCTTCCGTTTAACATTTCTGTCTCCAAGTGGTCCCTTTCTCAACTCTGTCTGCCACTCCTGTCACCGACCTCAGTTTCTATCCACTCTGGTCTCCTTGTTCCTACTTTGCCAAGAGGATATTCTATGACAGTGCTCTTGTTTCTTCCTGCCTCCTCTCCTCCGTTTTCCCCGCAAAGATGCCAGCTCATCTGAGACTGCTGCTCTGACCCCCTCCCTCGTAAAACAGCAGCCCTGCCCTGTATCCCTTTTACCAGCTGTCTCCTTACTACACACAACAACCTGGCTTGTTTTGCTTTGGTTAAAAAAATAAAACGTATTTGCATCTTGATTATAAGCTACATGAGGACACTGTTGTCACCTTCTGCTTTTATTGATGGGTACCCATGAAGCAGTCTCATGTGGGAAGGCTATGACAGTCATGACCATCTTGGAGCTGTGTCCCTGGAGTTTTTATGTCTCTGTGATGAGCCCCAGGACATTTTGTGTGGGTAAATATCACTGCTAGGCTCATAAACACCCACCCTCTTTCAGCTGACATGGCCACCTTCGACACTCCACCCCCAGCCTTTCCATTGATGCTTCTAAATGTATCAGGGCGGGATGATGTCACTATAATGCATTTCAGGAATGGCCGTGTGGTTTATACACATTTGAGTTGCTTTGAATGCAAAGCTGACATCATACCAAAGGCGGCAGTGAACAACATATGCACAGTAAACAGCCAGAGACTGTCTCATTGATTAACAGATGAGGCCTCTATTATCGATCAAAGCTTGCTGAGGAAATTTATCACTTTTAATTTCAGGGCTGCCAAATATTTCTGCCTCTGAGCCAGCCATTCCAGAGACAGTTTAATGTACAGCCTTCTTGGGAGAGGGGATTTCATCTGGTGTCTGTTCTACTCTTAGTTCCTCACCCTGCAGAGTCTCAGGATGTGAGTGTCTCTGGGCAGGCATGGAAGGAAGGGGGGCTTCATGAATGGGAGCCATCATCTGTGATATCAAAGTAGACCGTGGAGGCTGACCCAGAGTCCTTTGGGGAGAGAGACTTTTCACATGCTGAGCTTAATATTGTGACTGAAGCCAGCGTGGAATGAAGGTGACATTGAAGGCCACCAGATGTGGTCAGGCTGGGATTGAGGAAGCAGTCTTTTAGTTGTTGTGTGCTGTTGTCTGTTTTTATCTCCTTCTGAACCCTGGGTGATGGTGCATATTCGCCCTTCATTTCCTCCCTCCCTTTCTCCGCCATGAAAGTGAAACGCTACTCCCAGTCCCATTGATGGCTGTTTCTAAGAACCTCTCCATACCACGTCCCTTTGAAGCTCACAGCACTATTGGGCTCCTAACTCGATTGTGATTACAGGGCTCCAAAGCAGTGGCCGAGCCCATGAGGTGCTTGCCCCTCCCAATCTTCTTTGGGGAGTTGTGAGAACAGATAGAAGCAAAGAGCATCAGATCCCTCGCAAATCCACTGAAAATCATTGGTGGTTAATGATTCAGGCCGAGGGGAAGTTGCTTGTGTGAGGGAGCTCGAACTGCATGCAGCCCAGCTCCCCCATCCTGACCCTCTCTGCTTTTTAAAGCGTTTCCCGTGTCCCCCTTCCGCTGAACATGGATGAAAGTGGTCCTAGCTGTCACCTCCAAGCACACAGACACAGCTTTGCCACCTTCCCTGTAGAGTTTTTCTTGGCTTCATTTTCAAAGCTCTGTAAGCCATGGGCCAGGTGCTTGGCCTAAGGATACCCCGTGGCTTTCAGGGACACCCGGAGGTTGTCATAGGCTTCCTCTTGCCTCCAGATGAAACTCAGCTACAGTCACCCGAGGCAGATGACTCTAATTATTTTGAAGTCTCTTCAGGGAAAGCAATTTCATATCTACCCTGGAGTGCTCTCCCTCACATTTATTCAGCCAGCTCCTGTGCTGAACACATACTAGGGTATACATAGCCTGTTGTTCAATGGGGGTACAAGTGTCAATGAGACTGGGGTCATCACACTCTTCAGTCCTTCTACTCTTCATTGACAAAACTGTTCACTGATGTTTAAGTCTCTGTAATTTGACCTATATTCCTTGAAGCATGCATTTTCAAACTTTTTCATGTGACAAGGTCTTTGTTTGTAGCCCAGAGTGACCTGGAACCCACCATGTAGCCTAGAGAGGTGTTGAGCTTGTGGTCCTGTTTCATTTTCCTGGGTGCTGGGATTACAGATGTGCACAATCATGTCCATCCTTTGTTTAAAACAAGTACTAGAATGATTTTTTCCAAATGCAACCTGACATGAAGCCCTAATACTTGAAATGGGTAACCAGGTGAATGTTTAAAAGGGAGAGGGGAGCTTGCCTAGTTATCCATAATGCATTCTTGCAGATGGAACCCTGAAAAATCTGAAAATAAGGAATAAGGAAGATTAAGAGTTGTGGAGTCAGGCTGTTGAGATTTACATCTACCCTCTGTTCTGTGTGACAGCTGGGATATCCTTAACCTCTCTGAGCTGGTGGCTATCCATCTGCTAAATGGAAGATGGTAGGGGCATATACTCCAAATGTTATTGTTAGGACTTGATGAAATAATGCATATTCAGTGTTCAGCATCCTGCCCAGTATGTAGTAAACCTATGGGAAATCCTAGGTGGATTTAAAACAGCAGCAGGGGCTACAAATGTGCAAAGAATTGCCAAGCACTTACGAGGCTGTACGGTACTGGTGAGACCCCCTAGACACATATGAGGAAGAGCTCAGACACAATGAATGGTAGAGAGCAAGTTGGAAGAGGCAGAGTAGTGAGGGCTGGAGGGTGTGCCCTTGGTTCATGGTCTTGAACATGAAATGGCATGGAGAAAACAGGAGTGAAACTAGGACAGACACATATGGGGAGCCAGGCAATGCCTATAGAATGTGCTAAGGGACAGTCTGGCTATGGAGTTGCTTGGCTCGCTGGGCCAGGTTATGGTGAGATGAAGGAATTGAGAACTGGCACAGACTGCAAGTTTCTTACATAAAGAAGTATGAGGAATTACAAGGCCTTCAAGGGAGGATCAGACAACCTAAGTCCAACCCGGAGTCTTCCAGTGGTCCAGGCATGATACTACAAAGGTCGGGAAAAACAAGGATTTCCCCTACATAGCAGAGATGTCCAGGGTGAAGACATTTTGAAGAAAAAGCACCAAGACTTGAGACCGGCGACCCTTAGATGAGATGCAGAAGACTACTGAACCAGTGATGTGATGCTGTTTTACATTGACCTGGTGACACTGTTGCTTTGAGCTTTGAGTATGGCTCATGCTGGCTCTGAGTATACTGACAGAATTTGGGTTGTCATAGGCTCCCACCGTGAGTCAGGTGGACATTGCTGTAGACAGGATGATAATGGTTTCCCAGAGAGTCGGGCTTGCAGGATGGTGCAGCCAGAGAAAGATGTCACCTTGCCCAGCTGTAAAGGCACGGGTATCAGAGCTGAGACCTCAGTGATGACTAGGGATTGAGGACCTAAGGGATACAGAGAGGCAGAGGAGCTGTAGAAGGATGGGCAGTGATGAGGAGGAAGGCAGCCCCTTCAGGGAGCCACCACAGCCTAGTCTGCCTGGAAAGGAGGGAGGTGTGGAAAATGAAGTGTGAAAGACAGTACACCATCAAGAGCTATGTGCACCCCAGGAAGGAATTTGGACACAGTCCTCAGAGTACTGGGAAATTCTGCAGAGGTGTTAAGTGACCACACGCAAGGGGCTCTTAGGGCGTCAGTAATAAATTAACTTTGCACGCATTGTGTCAGAGGGTGTGCAAATATAAGTAGTGTGTATTCTATGAAACGCAAGCAACTGATACCCCTCCTTGTTGGTATCTTTTGCTCTTACCCATCCACCCAGGCCTTCCATCTTCATGAGACATCTTACCTAGACTCTTAGACTCTGTCTTAGTTTTGTCTGGGCCATGCTGATTTTATTTCTTCTCCTTCAGGAGACCTGGGTGAGTGGTCACCTGTCCAAGGTAGATCTGGGCTAGCTACTGAGGTTATGGATTATCTCCAAGTCAGAATCCTGTATCCCAGCCACTTCCCTAGTACCCAAGATGCATTCCACTCAATGGACTATGGTTCTAATGTTAGCCACTTCTTTCTTTTAGCGGGTGCCAAAGCCTTTGTGTGTGATCAGTGCGGTGCCCAGTTCTCGAAGGAGGATGCTCTGGAGACACACAGACAGACCCATACTGGTGAGTGTCCCTGACTCCATTTCCCCAGACTGCCCAGTATTATAGTACAAAGGAGGCCTGGGAATTTGGTGACATTCTCATCCTGACAACATGGTATCATCATGTCCAGGGTCTTTGTGGATGGGAATGGGCTTGTGTGGATGCCTGTCCATGGGGCTGAAGCAAGGGTTATGGATAGGACAGTTCCCCGTGAGAACTGAGTTAGGCCAGGTTCTGTCCATAACAAGCCACTGAGCCTCCATCCTCTCCAGGTGGTTTTGTGTGTTCTTGATGAGGCCCTGGGGAGTCTGTGGTGTTGCCTAAGCATCTGTTCCCCTAGCTATTGGTCAGAAACTTCTTCACATTTTGTCTGGTGAAATTCAGAAACCCTGGTGTAGCCACACTGTCTGATCCTCTCTGCTGTAACAGGTTGAGTCATCATCTGTAACATATCCATCTCCATGCAGGGATGTATTTGAACAGTGTTAACTGGCAGAGATAGAGCTGTGTTGGATTCCACAGTGCAGATTGCATTGACTATGACTGACAGTCCTGTTGCCTTCGAGGCCAGGATTCACGTTGGTTGGTTGCTCACTATGTGAAGGTACCATTCTGTTTGCTTTCCATGATCCCTCTTGGCTAGTCTGTCAGGAAGCCTGTAAGCTACTCTTAAGTCACAAATGAAGAAAAGAAGTCTTAAAAGAGGGTAGGAGCTTGCCGAAGTCAGGGGCAGGGATAAGTGTGACACTTCAGAGGTTGGACTGGCCAGCTTTCATACTGACTGGGGCAGTTCCTAAATGGAGCCGTGCATGAATTACTTAACCTTTTTTTCCATTTGGGTGTCCTCATTGATTAGGAAAGTGGAGCAAATGACAGTACGGATCAGTCAAACAGTGTTTTGTGGGGATCAAATAAAAATATTTTACCTGAAGTTCTTCACAGAGTGGCTCATAGTAAGTATTTAATGAACAGAAGTTGACTGATAGAATTTAACAAATGTTTATTGCATTCCTGCAGTGTGACTAAGTTGTTGGGGGCATTTAGGCTTTTAGGATATAGTAGCATATGAGGCAGACAATTCTGACTCTCATGGCACTGAGCTTGTTGCTGGGATGTAGTATGAGCCACAGCGTATATGACATGATGTCAAGTTAAAGCGGGTGCAGCCAAGAAAAGCTAAAGCAGATGAGAGGGGGAAAATAAGAGGAAGAAAGGTGGGATTTCAGATAAAGTGGCCATGGACAAAGGCTTCTTTGAGAAGGTGACATTCGAGCAGATGCCTGAAGTGAAGGATGAGCCACTTGTATGTCCCAAAGGTCTTACGGCCAGGTGGACCTCATAAGTTCAGAAGAACAGTGGGCAGGACAGAGAGCAAAGAGGTCCATGAGCATGGAAACGAGGCAGGCCTCTCAACCCTAGAATTTGGGCTTTGTTTTCTATTTGCTAAGAGTTCTTCTGAGGGTCATGCTAATTAGTTGTTTCATTTTATCAGTGACAACAAGTAGCTTAAGGATGGAAGAGTTGATTTTGGCTCACTGTTTGAGGTTACAAGTCTGCATGTCCCTCCTCAGGTAAACATCTTTGGACACACCTTCTTAGACATGCCCAGAAGTGTGTCTTCCAGGTGATTGCAAATCCAATCATGTTGACACTGAAGATTAACTAAAACAAGGAGAGGGGAAATATTTGTGGATCACATGTTAAACTTACAGCTAGAAAGTATAAAGAGCTCTTACAAGCTGGAAACACAGTAGAAAACAAGGAAAGGAAATGGCTCATAACTCCAAAGATAGACATAGCCAAAGTGCGCATAAAAAGATGCTCCATGCCATTAGCTGCCAGAGAGATGCAGATGAAACTCACCCACCAGGATGTGACTCTCCAAAAACAGAGTTAGTGTCAAAGGCTTCTGAGGATGCGGGGAAAACCAAAACCTTCAAATGTTACCCGTGGGAAGGTAGGGTGGGCACAGCCACTTTAGAGAACCACCTGGAAGCTCTTAAGATGTTTAAACTTAGAATCACCAGATGACAGAAGTTTTCCTTCTTCCTGTCTACCAAGAGAGATGAAGATGTGTGTCCATTCAGAAACTTGAATGTCAGTATCCACAATGTCAGTCAAGTGAAAGTAACCCAGTATCAAAATCAGTACACAGACATGCAAAATACTAGGTATACACATGCAAAGAATGGGGTTTGGTTGCAAAAAGTACTGAAGTATTGATACATGCTATAGCATGGCTAAACCTTTAAAAAATTCATTGAAAGAAGCCAAACAGAAAAGTCCATGTGTTATATGGCCTCCATTCATGTGTATTGTCCAGAATGGGCAAATCTGTATAGACCTTAGAATACATTTGTAGATGCCAGAGGCTGCGGGTACTGGGGATAAGTAGAGATTGACAGCTGAGGGATACAAAGTTTCTTTGGGGGAAGACAAACTTGTTCTAGAATTGAGTGTGGTGATGATTATGCAATATATTAAAATCCATTAAGCTGTATATTTTGAAAGTATAGATAGATACATTGCATGTCATGTGTAACATAGCTTTTATTTATTTATTTATTTATTTATTTATTTATTGTGGTTTTACGAGACAGGGTTTCTCTGTATTGTTTTGGAGGCTGTCGGTCCAGCCCAGCCTCGAACTCACAGAGATCCGCCTGCCTCTGTCTCCCGAGTGCTGGGAGCTTTTAAAGTTGAGTGAATATGTATGTGTGCGCATATGTAATCTGACATTGTCAGGAAGACTAACTGGTAGTCCACACATGCCACCTCATGTATTTTCATAGATAGATAAATACAGATTTATAAATACATGTAGACCTATACACACAAGCTTGCATAGAGAAGGGAAAGATGTGCCGCTGGAGGACTCTTGGGGAGAAGCCTGGAGATAAAACCCAGGACCTCGTGCTTGCTATGCATGCACCCCACCACTGAGACACATCCCCAGGTTCCACTGGAAGATTTGAGTGTTAGCAACTTGACTTATACGTGTGGAAGAACACTTGTATTGGGAGTTGACCATAGAGAATGTTCCAGCACCACTCCAGCAGCCCCTTAGAAAACCCAAGTGTTCTGAAGGATGGTTGGGCTCAGCTGGATAGTTTACACTTGGACTCCCTTGTGGCTGCCATTGGCTGATAGCTGGGGCTGGCACCCTCTGGTTAGTCCAGGTATGTGTCATGGTGACTGCTCCACTCACACATCTGACTTAGGACTCCTCCAACGTGGCCTGTCAGCAGTAAAGCAGCCTCTGTCTGTTTCTGTAGAAGACAATAACTCAGACTACAGGAGCCAGAAAGTACATGATGCCAGGCCTATAAGAAGCTGGGAAAACAACTTGAAACATATAGTCTCACCTCTGCTTTATTTTACTGTTTAAAATTGTCAGGTCACCCCCAGATTTAAAGGAGAAGAAACCTAGATTCCCCTTCTCAATGGTGAAGTGGTGAGAACCTGTAGGGAAAGAGAAATTAGTGACAGCCATCTTGGAGACAAGCAACTACAGTGCCTGGAGGATCCCAGGAAGGCAGGGTTAGATTTTGGTGCCATTTTCTTGTTGCTCAACTGTGCACACTCAGGAATCCCACTCTGGGAATTCTGACCTGGGGTGGCTGAGGGGAATTTTGAGCCAACTTTTTCAGGTAGCTTCATTCTGTCCATCAGGACCAAATTCTAAGTAGTGGAAGCAAGCTTCCTTCTAAGCCTGGGGCTGGGGAAGCAGAGTTCTGAGGGAAGCATCAGGTTGGTTGCTCTCAGACAGACCCACTCACTGATTACCTGCTGTGTCTCTGGAAGGTGGCAACAGCATGGCCATATTCCACGAACACTGGGGACCCAAGCACGGTCTCTGAACTTGGCTTTCTGTCAGAGACCATGTGGCTTTCTGCCAACAGAGAGAGGCTCCGTCTGAGAAATGTCATCTGAGTGGAGATAAAGTGATGAATGTTTAGTAGACCACATGTGACTTCCTCAATAAAGATTGAGAAAACTAAGCTCTAAAAAGGGTGAAGAGTGGAAAATATGGAATGAAAGGCCTCCGTGGAAGCTGGGTGTAGGTTATGGGAAAACAACCCCAGAAGAGCATCAGTTACCTCCTAGTATAGACCAGGTACTCAGTGTGACAGTCTGCATCACTCCAGAGCATCTTCCTGCTGCGTGGTAGGACTCCTGCATCACTAGTGGTAAGTACTTCCTGCCAAACCCTGCTGTACCCCTCAGGCTGCTCCAATAGCAACGAAAGAACATGTGAGCTCCATTCAGCATCTCTGTTTTACAAAGGAGGCCTCAGGAGCCAGAGTTGGGCCTCTGTTGCTAGAGTGCTTCCTGGCAGTGTGAATCCCTGGGTTCCATCCCCACCCAACACCACCTGTATGCCTGTAACCCCAGCATCTCCAGAGGTGAAAGCTGGTGGATCAGAAGTTCAAGATCATTTCTAAATTTGAGGCCAGCCTGGAGTACACAAGGTCCTGTCAGTCACACACACACACACACACACACACACACACACACACACACACACACACACACAGACCCAGGAGAGGGGTTCCAAAGGAATATTGAAAATAATACTGGCTGAGCATGGTGGCACCCACCTTTAATCCCAGCACTTGGGAGTCATGTGTGTGGATCTCTGTGAGTTCAAGACCAGCCTGGTCTACGTAGTGAGTTGCAGGACAGCCAGGACTTCATAGAGAGAACCTGTCATAATAATAATTAATAATAATAATAACAATGATGATGATGATACCACAAGAGACAGACAAGCCAGAGAGCTATCAGGAGAACAGAAAAGAGATCTGGAGGGGAGAATGGAGACCCTGGAGAGAGTACAATACTGCTGGTGTCGCTTGATACTTCTGATACATCAGTTTATCAATCACCTACCTTAGCAGACCAGTTTTAACAGATAAGAAAATGGAGGCTAGAAGGTGCCCATCAGGAAGTCCAGAGCTGAAACCCATCCCACCTCCAACTTTAGTACTCTCCCCATAAATCCTCAGCTGCCCTCACTG